AGAAAGGAACACCTGGCCTCAGTCTCTGGGCTAGTGCTTTAGAAAGTGACAAAGTCAGTGACAGGGCTTGTTGAGTTTGAGAACAGCCACAGAGAACGGCATCAGCGTGAGACATGAGGGGTGGGTGGGTGGCTCCTATCAACTTGCAGTAAGCCAAGGATGCCCACAAGCTTCAGCACAGGAAAAGTAAAGTGGAGGAAAGCGGAGAAGCTAGGTAAAAGCTCAGAGAAGCAATGTATTTTCCTGTTGAGTCCTCTGTCCCTTCTCATCAGCAGACAGAATTGACAGATGTGCACGGCATGAGCAGTAGCTGAGGACACTGTGTCCCACACCTGCTCATGTTCACATGGATGACAGTTGTGTTTAAACACCATCTCTCTGGGAGGCGGGGTGGGAGATGGCTTGCGTCTGTCTGAATGTGTGGCAGATTTCTAGTTGAGAGATTTTGACATTGCCTAGGAGTATGTGCTGATAAGTATGCTGGGTTTTTTTCCCCCTTAGACAATCAGATCTTCCAAAACAAACAAAAACTCCAAACCAAAATAATAACAGTAATAATAATGTTCTCCCTGACTCAGCTCTCCATTTACGTTAAACTGAAGTCCCCATCAAGGTAAGCAGATTAATTACTTTTCACTGATGTAACCAAATACCCAACAGAAACCACTTATTAAGCTCACAAGTCAAGGGTTTGGACCATGGTTACTTAGTCCCATGTCCTCAAAGGAAAGAACGTGGTGGTAGCAGGAATGTGCTTGCCATCACAGAAGGGACAGGAAGTCAGGCCCAGCTATAAAAGCCTAAGGCCCACCCCCAGTGACTCACTTCCTCCAGTGGAGTTACACCTCCTAAAGAATCCACAACTTTCTAAACAGTGCTGTCAGCTGGAGCCAGGTGTTCAAACACATGGATGGACCTGTGGGAGACAAGCTGCATTCTAACCACAGCAAAAGGCAAAGCCTCACTACTTTATGTCGCCACAACGCCACAGAGTAATTCTAGCAGCGTGGGATAACACTTCTGACACACGAGGGCCATTTTGTATTCAAACTATAACAGTAGGGCTGATGCCAAGGCAAGTTTGGGGTTTGGGTCTCTTTTGACATTGGAACCAGATGTAATTTGAGGACAAACATTGTTCAGCTTAAGCAGCATTTTTTTTTTTTTTTTTTTTTTTTTTTTGTCAAATTGATACAATTAGGTCATCTGCTGACTTGAATGTTCTTGGGGGAAAAGTAAAGGATGAGAGGGTCTTATATCTATATCCATGAACTAGTACACAGTGTAGCTCGATCCCGATTTGCTACTGAAATACTAGCCATCCTGGTTGTCTACTCGTGACCTGTTGTCCTGTTGTCTTTTTTGGCAGCTCAGATGTGGAATTCAATCTTTCAACTCATGAGCACTTAGATCTGTAGTATTTATTGAATTACTTATGTTAAAAATGCAAGTACTAGGATCCCATCTTAATCCTAGTGAATTGGCATTTCCAAGGGCTCTGTTCCAAAATATTTTAGCGGTCCTGGCATCGTACCCAGGGTCTCATGAAAAGAAGACATCTCTTCCAGGATGCTCCAGGAATAAAAGATGAGCCCACAGTGTGAGTGAGTGCGTGGCCTGAGCATGAGCCCACTGCATTTGTGTGTGTGTGTGTGTGTCTAAGTTTATTCAAGTTAATACTGATACCCAGGAGAGGGAAGGTTCTCGTCTCTCCATACTCTGTTTCAGAGATGATGAGAAATGTTCAGTCTCCCATAGAGTGAGCCTGATGCTAAGCCAGGGCAGTGAGCATAAGATTCCCAGTGAGACACACTGTGACCCACATGGTCCCTACTGTAGCAGCCACAACTAAAGGGGACCTCCCAGGATGGAGGAGCACCTCCCTCCCTTCCGACAGGATCAAACTCCTTAGTGGCAGGGTGACCTTGGGCTTGTGGCCCTCATGTGCTGGGATACAGGAATGCACCCCCGCACTCAGTTCCTGCAGTAGTTTTGAATACTGAACACAGATTTGCACATGCTAGTTAAGGGTTCCACCCTGAGCAGCATCCACAGCTCAGCACTCTCTGGATGAGCCTTTGCCAGTGTTCAGAGGGCAGAGCCTTGGTTGGTGGAGTGGTGGTGGAAAATTTTACATTCAGTTTACATCCTGTTTACATTCAGGAAACAGTCCAATAAATGGCTGGCAATATACTTAGGCTTTCTGACAGTTGCTTTCCCCATTTATACAAGCAATCGATCAGACAAAATAACATATAGTTTATAAACTGCTTAGCATTGTGCCTGACCTGTGGCCAGTGCTAAGAAGTGGGATGTTTTTTCCCCTAATAGTTCTAGACCTTCATGGGTATGCCCAGGGGATGGAGCTCCCTCAGGCCACCAATGCCAACTTCCACTATGAGATCTGCCTCAGCTCCTTTGGGGTCTGTGATACCACTTTAGAAGTTTGCATATCTGAGATCTGGGCTGCGATTCTCAACCTGAGCTCATTCTTCTTTGTAGGCTTTACAAAAATCTTCCCATAAATTGGACACTTCCTGCTGCCTGCTTTCAGTCACCTGGCAATGTCCCACTCAAGAGGCTCACAGCAGAGACTTGGGAGAAGACAGGGAACAAGAGTCTCAGCAGAGGGGACAGTCGGCCTTGTGGGTTTTCTTGAGAGTCTGAGAAAGTCCTCTCAGTATGAAGACAGGAGCTCTCGACTGGGGGAAGTGCTGGGGAGTAATGGTGCCCATTCAAGGCAGACATCTGAGAAGTACTTAGCATCTAGACAGGGATGAAACTATCACCTGGAGTTGGAACTGATGGTCAAGGTCAGGCATTTAGCCCGCAATCCTGAGCCTGCATCTTGATGTTCTGGGGGGGGGGGATCTGCTCAGAGCTTGGGATCTGGGCTTGGATGACAGCATATGACGTTTGTTTTAGAGGCCTCTGAAATATGACATACCTTTCTTTAGGTCTCTGTCCACCCTGTTGACGTTTCCTGCTCTGCTGGACTTCATGATCTGCCTACTGCTCCTCTAGAGTGCAGATGGCATAGTGAAGCTGGTGCCACTAACACCCAGCATGCCCGTAGCCAACTCCCATGTTCCTACCATTCTCAGCAGAGAGAGCATGGGAACAGCCTCTCTTCCTTGGCTAGCACCCTGCCCCATCCCCCACTGAAGGATGTTGTGCAGGGGTTGTAAGATGTGTGTGTTGGGGTTGTAAGGGAAAGAAAGGTACATGCAAGTGGTGTAGAGTTTAACTTTAGATTTTTTTCTTTTAATTTTAATTTCACAAATGTGTAAGATGCTGTATGTTAATTCAGTATTATGCACAGCATGTAATGACCAAAGCAGGGAAGTTAAAATTTCTATTTCTGTAAACGTAAAAAACTTTTTTTGATTAACACACAGTAATTGTGTACTTTTGTGGACAACAGTGTGGCTCTTTAACACGCACATACACAATGTACTGATTAAAATAGCATGATTAAGGCTTACATCTACTTATGTCGTGGCGCTCCTTTTTTTCTAGCTCTTCAGAACACAGCTGTGCTTCAACAAATGCTTAAGGGGTTCCCAGCAGTTTAAAGCAAGCAGAGAGGAGGGCTCAGGACTCCCTCACATCTGTAGAAGGTTCGAGTCTCACTCTGGTCGAGGTAGACACACAACACACACACACACACACACAACTCGAAGATTTCTGAAACATGACACAGTGCAGTAAAATCTGAACCACCCCCCCACCGCCCTCCTGAGCTTAGATCCAGACTTGTCCCAAGACAGGAGAAGATGTAGGAATTGACTAGAGACTGGAGCATGGAGCCTCAAGTCGCTTCCCAGCCGTGACGTTCAGTGGCCAGCAGGTGTCAGTGCGCCCTCGTCCTGTCACGGCTCAGGGCCTATGCTCCTGGACCCTTCCCCACCTCCGTTCAAGTGGGGCGCGGTGCAGACTCCAGGCCACGAGCGTTCCCCCCCCCCCCCCATAGCTCTGTGGCTGCAAGGACACGTGGCCTTCTCTTTCCTAAGTATGAACAACTCGGACCTGGTCTGCTTACGCGTGGGTGCTGTCCATTCCGCTCCAGCGGTTCCATAGGAACTGCACATGCTTATCTCTCCAGGATCTCTTCATCCCGGCCACCAAAAGCACCTGCGCCAGGGCTGGGGCGGGGCTGCTTCGCCAGAGACCCCTACACAACGCTGCGGCTCCTAATTCGGGTCCCAGCATCCTGGCACCCTTTCCTGGTAGAACCCTACCAGATGGGTGCACTCCCGGGTGTCGGGTGTCTGTCTGCTACTGTCTGCGGGCCGGCCCGGAGCAGCACGGCCAACTCCCAGCAGGGGCCGCTCCCCACTCCGCAGGCGCTCTCTTAAAGCCCCTCGTCCACTGTACCCGCCTTTCCAGAAGGCCGGTCCAGCCCGCGAGGCAGCGCTCTCTGGGGTCCGACGCGGGTGCGGGCTCTAGCCCTAAGAACTGGAGGCGCGAGGGGAGGAGGAGGGTCGGCTTCCCACGTGGGGGCTGACGCTGGCTGCTCGGCAACGCCGGCTTCATCCTGGGGCTATAAAACCAGTCCACCGTAGCTCCGCGGAGCAGCAGCGGCTGCCGCTTCTGTGCAGACGCCCAGCAGCCGGTGCACGCCGCCCAACCACCCCAGCGCCTTCAGCCCCAAGTCCTGCTAAGACTCCGAAGGTCTGCGGACCCCCACCGGGGCTGGTGCGCTCAGCGCCCACCCAGCTCGCGGTTAGCAGCCACCTTGCCTCGGCCGTGGCTCCCGGAGAGCCGATCGCTCACCTAGCTTGGCCTTGAGGACCCGGGGGGTGCCTTCATGCGGCCCCCACACCCTTCACCCCCCCGCTGCCGCCGCCCCCGAGTTCTGTGCGCTGCGTCCCAGCCCCAGCAGGGCGCACAACTTTGGGAGTCCCGTGGCTCTCGAAGAGGAGGCAGAGTCCGCGCCCTAGCCCGAGGTCTGGCCCAGCCCGCGCCACCGCGCCCGGGGGGCAGTGACAGAGTCGGAAATCGCTTCCAGGGTATAAGAAGACAGGCCTAGGACCCTGAGCCCGCACCAACACCCCTCGGCTGCCTCTTGGGGTAAGACTTCCTGCTTTCGCTCAGCTCAAGAGTCAAGGTATAGATGTCTATTTAAATACGTTTGTTTAATTTTCTGACATCTTTCCAAGTCATCAGGCCACCGATGATTTCTTTTCTCTTTTCTCTTGAATAATAAATCTCTAACCACCAGCTGGCCCTACTCTATCCTGCCGCGTAGAAATAAAACTTGGCTGTGTTTTTGGGGAGCTGGAAGAGAGAAGGCGCCCACCCGGAGCGTCAGAAGGACTGTGCTTGTCAGTACATGGACCACTAGCGGCCCCCCAGCTTGGGCCCGGGCTCCCTGCGGCCCTCTCCCTATGTGAGGCGCGGCGGGACGATCCACTCCGGAGGAAGAGGAGGACCCACTAACGCGGGGCCGGAAGGCAGCTGGCAGCAGGCCCAGGAGAACCGGCGCCCGCGTTCATGTTCCGCCAGGAGCAGCCGCTGGCCGAGGGCAGCTTTGCGCCCATGGGCTCCCTGCAGCCGGATGCCGGCAACATCAGTTGGAACGGGACCGAGGCACCCGGGGGCAGCACCCGGGCCACCCCCTACTCCCTGCAGGTGACACTGACGCTGGTGTGCCTGGCTGGCCTGCTCATGCTGTTCACAGTGTTTGGCAACGTGCTGGTTATTATTGCAGTGTTCACCAGTCGTGCGCTCAAAGCGCCCCAAAACCTCTTCCTGGTGTCTCTGGCCTCAGCTGACATCCTGGTGGCCACGCTGGTCATTCCCTTTTCTCTGGCCAACGAGGTAATGGGCTACTGGTACTTTGGTAAGGTGTGGTGCGAGATCTACTTGGCGCTGGATGTGCTCTTCTGTACGTCGTCCATAGTGCACCTGTGCGCCATCAGCCTGGACCGCTACTGGTCCATCACGCAGGCCATCGAGTACAACCTGAAGCGCACGCCGCGCCGCATCAAGGCCATCATCGTCACCGTGTGGGTCATCTCGGCCGTCATCTCTTTCCCGCCACTCATCTCCATAGAGAAGAAGGGCGCTGGCGGCGGGCAGCAGCCGGCGGAGCCCAGCTGCAAGATCAATGACCAGAAGTGGTATGTCATCTCGTCGTCCATCGGGTCCTTCTTCGCGCCTTGTCTCATCATGATCCTGGTCTATGTGCGCATCTACCAGATCGCCAAGCGTCGCACCCGAGTGCCGCCCAGCCGCCGGGGCCCAGACGCCTGCTCCGCGCCGCCTGGGGACACCGATCGCAGGCCCAACGGCCTGGGCCCGGAACGGGGCGCGGGCCCCGCGGGCGCCGAGGCCGAGCCTCTCCCCACCCAGCTTAACGGCGCCCCGGGGGAACCCGCGCCCGCCGGGCCGCGCGACGGGGATGCGCTGGACCTAGAGGAGAGTTCGTCGTCCGAGCACGCTGAGCGGCCCCCGGGGCCCCGTAGACCCGAGCGCGGTTCCCGGGCCAAGGGCAAGACCCGGGCGAGCCAGGTGAAGCCGGGGGACAGTCTGCCGCGGCGTGGGCCGGGACCTGCGGGGCCCGGGGCTGCAGGGTCGGGGCCGGGAGAGGAGCGCGGCGGAGGCGCCAAAGCGTCGCGCTGGCGCGGGCGGCAGAACCGCGAGAAGCGCTTCACGTTCGTGCTGGCTGTGGTCATCGGCGTGTTCGTGGTGTGTTGGTTCCCGTTCTTTTTCACCTACACGCTCATAGCGGTCGGCTGCCCTGTGCCCTACCAGCTCTTCAACTTCTTCTTTTGGTTCGGCTACTGCAATAGCTCGCTGAACCCGGTCATCTACACCATCTTCAACCACGACTTCCGCCGCGCCTTCAAGAAGATCCTCTGCCGTGGGGACAGAAAGCGCATCGTGTGAGCCAGTGGGACGTGCCCTGCTTACAGGCGCTTGTCCGATGCAGGCCCCCGAAGCCGCCCCAGTGTTCTGAAACCCAGGACCTACCTACCTGCTCTGGGCGGTACCTAACTTGCAGCGAGCCAGGTTGGTGGTCTGGAGGACACCTTTTGTTACAAGTGTAAAGTTCCGGCTGTGAGGGACACACGCGCCTTACCATGGTTGTTATGGCTGCTCCCCGCCCACAGCCACTTTCCTGGTGGGCTACCCCTGATCAGTATTGTTTCCTAATGATATTGTCACCCTCTTCCCCTGGTCTGACTCTCCCAAGCTCTTCAGAGCAAGCGCAGTGCTAGAGAGGGCATGGCTGCCAAAGGGTCAACGAACCAAGATTTTCCAGTCCTGGCTAATTAGCACTCTCCTTCCTTAAAAACCCATTCAGGGCAGCCCTGCCTGCCCCCCAACCCCCACTGTAAATATACATTATTTTTGATAGCATACTTTGACGTCCTCAATGTTGGCCTTGGTGTGGTGTTAGAATCATGGCGGTGGAGATGCTCTCCAGTCAATTCAGACAGTGGTTCACCAGGCCCAGACCAAGCTCCTTTGCAATGCAAGCCTTTTCTAGTGTTATGTCTATGTGGTTCTCAGTGCTTTTCACCAGTAACTGGTGACTGCCCCTTGGACATGGGTCTGCTTTGAGATTTCCTGACAGGGAAAGGGTTTCTGTTCATTCTTTCCCCCCCTCCCCCCGTGCCTAACAGCATAATTGCCTTTTCCTATGTAAATATTACAGCGATGGACCAAGACAGAAGGAAGTGAGCCTCTGCCTTGCATCAGCCCTGTGTATAAAGCCATTATCATCCGAGCCACCACCTTAAAACTGACTCTGTGGTTCCCCACTCCTCTGGGGCCAAGGCTTGAAGAAGAACATGTATGTTTCTATCCTGTATGTGCGCCGCCCTCCCCCAGAAAATGCTGACTAAGAGGGGAATCTTTTAGCCGCTGGTTTTAGCCATGCAGGAGTGGAAATTGTGTGGAAGAAATAACCCTGATACAATTTGCACAAGGTAAACAGCAAGAAGACAAATCGGCCTGCCGCAGGGTGCAGCGCCAGCCCCAAGAGCTCTTGGGTCTGAAAGGGTTCCCTTGCCCTCACTCTTCTGGCTGAGACCATGGCAGGGATGAATTGCCAGAGTGAGGGAGGACGGCGGAGACTTTGTGTTTACAGCCGGGTTTCTACTTATTTTAGGTGGGCAGTGGAAGGCCTGTGCTCTGATTTCACGAAAGGAAAACTAAGTTTGTTGCTTATGACGGTGGATTTTTTTTTAAAAAAAATAACGTTTACAGATCAAATGTGAAATAAACATGGATTGAATGGTCCTCCTGTCTGGTGATTGAATTTTCAGATATTTGAACTCTGGTGTTACCCATAACACACACATTGAAAATTATCTTTAAGCCCCTACACAGGAACAAATTGCCATTCATGTGTTCCTTCCATGCCGGCCATTGTGTGCCTGTTTTAGGCACTGCCTTCTTTAATCTTTTCAAGAATGCTATGAGGTAAGTCCTATTGTTATTCCCATTTTACAGGTAAAGAAACTGAGTGCAGAGGGCAACTGGCTTACTTGGGGTTAATAGGTGTGTAAGTTCATTATATTCCATTTCACCTGGTTGAAAAGTGTGTGCTCCTAGCCCCAGAGTTGCCAGAGTTGTGGCGTTGACACTCCTCTGAAGGTACATTGCACACACAGTGCAGGTATCCCAAGTGTGTGGTGTGTTCATGGCCTAAAGGTGTGTACTCCTCAAAGCATGTATCTATCCCAAAGTGTGACGTGTACATACAAAAGGTGACGTGTACATACAAAGTGTGACGTGTACATACACTTGGGAATGGGCGCCATTAGTACAATGCACTAACGGACAATGTGGTAACTACTCCATAGCTGGGTACAAGCACGTAATATAGTAGTTGGTGGCTTCAATTCTCTAGCCAGAAGCATGCGTCCTTGATGTATGCCTCTCATGTCAACATCTGCCCCTTTGCTTCCGAGGGTTCAAGACCCTCACAAAGATGGTTATAGGTTATAGGTTTAGTGCTCAAAGGGCCTTAGAGATCTGGCGAGTCCACCTTATACCGCAGCTGAGGGGGGCCGGCCAGAGGAAGTAGCTTGCTTAGGATTCCACAGGTCCCACAGGTGATGGAGCCCTGGCCTCAGGCTGCCCTGAGTTAGGGAGCCAGTGAGCCCTATGCATGGCTGTGAAGAAGGTCTCCTGCTGCTGCTGGGTGGAGAGGCCTCAGGGAGGAGGGGATTTTGAGGGACTGATACAAATGATAGGATGTGGTTTTGATGGGAGGAAAATTTTTGTTAAGTGCAGGCACCTGTAGCTCGTGAGCAGACCAGCTCTGCATGCTCCAGAAAGTGGGTGCTAACTGCCCTCTGGATACACTTGCAGCATCACAGGGGTGGCCCTGGGAGGAGACCAGGACTGGGGAGCCTGGGAGAGGAAGGCAGAGGGATTGCAGAGGAGGTCAGATACTGAAGTCTGCTTCCAGGCTACCTCTCCCAGACTCCTATCTCTCTATTCTATGGCTCCCACTGTCCTAAAGGCAAACAGTGCTAGACAATAGGCCAGCTTGGCAGGCCTCCAGGACCAGAGCTGTGTGACCCAGGCATCCAGGCAGACAGACACACAGCTCACCATTGGCTGTGTTCTGACCTGCTTGCTGAGCAGGTGTTTGCCTTGCCTATAACCCCACAGGCCGGTTGCTGCCTAGAGGGAAAAGTGAAGGTAGTGTTGTGAATGGAGGGTTCAGGACTGTGGCATCTCCCATCTAATGCGTTAGCAGAGAAGCCTCAGAAATGGGTGCAGCCCAGAAAATGAGCCCAAGAGGGTTGGAGCCCACGCTGGACTACTGGGCTTCTGAATCCACAGTAGAACTTACTGTTCATTTCAAAGGGCTCAAGTAGCAGCCTGTGAAGGTGTATGTGGGGGACTGAGAGTGGAGGGGTGAAGAATGGATCTTTCCAGAAGGAACAAAAGACTGGAGATGGCCCCACATCGCCTTTCCGTAGTCCCTGGTTCTTTTCTGGGCCAAGAGAGTTGACACTACTTCATGTGGTTTTTACAACTGAGGGGCCTGGCAGGATTCCTTGCTGTGAGGGCAATGGGTTTGGGGAGGGTAGGACCCTTACTTTAGTTTAGGCAATTGCACACCGCCTCCCACAGGCTTTCTTCAAGGACTCAGGGCTCAGGTGAGACTGTGATAACGTGGCTCAGGCTTTCCCTTCTCCACGACTCAAGTTTAAGAGCCCAGATGTGGCCTGTGTCCCTTCAGCTGCCATACCTCCTAACCAGAGATCCTGAGAGCTGGCTACTTATGCACTATCCCAGGCTTACTCCACCCATTTCCCCCTGGCCTCTCTGTCGGTTATGACCTATCTCTAGCACAGATTCTGTTTGGTTGTAGGGTGTAGAAAGCTGCTGAGAATTCCCAAACACCTGCTCTGTGCCTACCCTGCATCTTGAGCCACCCTGGGCACTACATGACAGCTTTCCTTTGCTGAACGCACTCTGCAGTCACCTTTTGTTCCTGAGGGAGCTTGTAGAGTCTTCACCACCCTCCGCCAGCTTTAGAGTTCCACAGGGCAAGATGTGCCCATGCCATGCGGCATGTTAGAAGGCCATAGAACAGGGTGGCGTGGCTGGGGGAGTAATAGGCACATAAGAAGGAGAAATTTGGAGAGGAGGTGAGGGTTGGGCTCTGAGTCTTGGCTGAGGTCAGGAGAGAGTGATTGGCAATAGCTCTAGCAGATGAGCTGCAGGTTGTGGACCCCCCAGGCCCAGCCAAGACTTTGGCTTTGATTGCAATACCTGTCCCTACTCAAGGGTTGTATTCCTTATCCAGGATCCCAGAATCATGATCTCTCCAGAACCAGGAGACCAGCTTGCCCAAAGTACCCTACCTTGGGCTCTGACAATCTCCAAGTGGGCCCAAGAGTCTGTCTTGCAAAGAAACACCATCCTCTGGGCAGGGTGTGCCTGTAATGGCAGCCAGGCCATGTCACTGCAGAGTCACAAACACCACAGTTTAGTTTAGAAATAACATCAATCCCTTCAATTGACAGGACTCCTGGGGTCTGGAGTTCAATACAGAAAAAGGAGCAGGGTCTATTGGAAAGAAAGTACATACGCTGTCAGGCTGCCAGGAAGCTGGCTTTCTAGTCCTAATTTTGCTGCTGACTGGCTATGTGACCTTGAGCCCATCTCTTTGAGGGACTGGCAAAAGGAAACTCATTGATTGGTCTAGTGCTATTTCGACATGTGTTCTATGGAACTAATTAAATTTATTTCTGGTCTCTCCATGTATGTAAGAATCCATAAGTTATCTATCAGACATCCATCAAAAAGCCATTAACTTCAGGTCTCTCTTCTACCTGTCGCTGTCACCTGTTACCTATTAATCTACTCATCATTTATATACTGCCTTTCAGAAGTGTCTTGGATTATAACGTAATTGTTCACCTCTTCCCTTTTTCTCACTCCAAACCCTCCCATGTACCACGCTTCTTTTTTATGTTGTTTCTTGTTTCTTTCAGACTCATGGCCTCTTTTCTGTCATTGTCGTTGTTATGGTGGTGGTGGTGGTGGTGGTGGTGTGTGTGTGTGTTCCTAAATACACAAATAGAATATGTGTTCAGTCCGTATAATGTAATTTTGACAGGTCCCTATGGTGACATAGTGTGCTGTGTTCCACAAACTGTAGTGACTGGAGTTTGCAGGGACACTTGGCTCACGGATCTCTGGGGCTTTTCTGCCGATCCATTTTAAGATGATATAAAATACTAAATCTATTCTCTCCTGTCCCCATTGGGGGGACAGATCTGTTCTTCTTGAGGTATTTCCTGGAGCACCGTACTTCATAAGGGTTGGAGTTGTACTGTGGTTGCAGATATGGGCTCTGCTTGCCTGTACATGTGAGTATGACGAGTACATGTGTGTGATGACATGTAATGGGAGATGTCATTCTGTAATATGTTTCTCTTATTGGTTAATGAATAAA